GCAGCAGAAAACTCACGTTCACAGGTACTAGCGCCCGCACCAGCCACTGTGCCATCAGATACACAAGTCACGCTACCAGTGCCAGAAACCCGGTAATTTGTATTACAAGACAATGTCAGGGTAGAATTCCGCGTGTCAAACGGGCCCGGAGAGTATGCTCCGTTGGCTGGATCAGCTGGTCTCATACATATACCTGCAGTGGACAACAGCAATACAGGTCTGATGAGCGCCTACTTGTGCGTCATAGCACTTTCTTCCTCCTCTTCTGGTGGGAAGAAGCTCTGCTTCTGGGCATCGAGCACTCTATTGAGTATTGGACAGCCTGGAACCGTTCTGTTGCACAATATAGGCTAGATACAAATTCGCTATTGTGAGTAGTTTCAGCCTTTTAGCCTTCGGTAAGAATCCATGGGTAGAAAAAGGAATTGTAACCCATAAAAAGGTGCAAAACTAAGCTGGATATGTTGCCAGTGGTCGGGTGAAATGATGCCCAACGTTCTATTCACACAACAGCTAGTAACAAGGGCAACTTCACAGAACTCTCAATGAGTGTAACTCTACACGTGCATTCTCCAACAGCACGTGACGCAGAATCACTACATGTACAAGCAGCTTTTCCAAGCTTTCTTCCTCCAGTGAGAGATCAGTTGAGGAATACCAGTAGCCCGGAGGAGTTGTAGGTGGTTTCCTTAAGAATCGGTGCATACTTGAGACCTGGTCGACCTAGCAGGAGTACTCTGAAGGCTTCGCTACTTTCGCATGGCGTAAGCAGATTCACACACTGGCCTCGGACACAATATCAAATTCCAAAACAACACCAAGTTGTCACAACACAAGGACCAGCACAGCACGTGTCACAATCCAGCATCTCCCTTTTCTTTTAGCTGTGTAGGTCCAGACAGAACGATAACTAAGAGCTAGTAGTACTTCAAAGTACGAGAACTTGAAACGACTTCAGGTGGAGAAGGAGGAGAACTTTGAGCGCAGGAGCTGGAAAGACAAAAAGCATTCCGATTTGACACTCCATCTTGCAGGCTAGTAGTACAGTGCAGGCTTCCGCGGATAGCAGCTAGCGCATACAGGGCCTCACGCATCGCAGCTGTGCGTACAGGATTTCCATGCACAAGCCCACATGACGGGCATGCGTGCACTTGCTGCGCAAACTGGTTTCACGTGCAAAGCAGGGAAGCACTGAAGCTATAACTTTCGCACGTCGTACGACTTTTTTTCTTGTTGTGTCACTCGATATACGTCGGAGATCTTTGAGTCCCCGAAAGTTTGAATTATCATCAATGATCGGCTATGGAAGATGTCTGTTCCGTTCCTAGAAACTTGGATCTACTTTTAGACATACTGCTTAGCCATTGTCACAGAATGACTGCGAATACACTCTGAAAAGATAAGCACACACACATTTCAGTGACGCAGAGGAAGCATAATGGATCACATAGGCATGGTATGCCTTGTCTGACTACATGCTTGTGTAGCTTATCAGCATACCTGCTTCAGAATTAGAACGTAGACGTTGACAACAGGCAGCAGAAAAACTTACGCTCACAGGTACTAGCGCCTGTACCAGCCACTACGCCATCAGATGCACAAGTAGCGTTACGAGTGCCGTAGAGACGGTGATCCGGATTACAAGACAATGTCAGGATGCTTTGCACAGCGTTGAAGGAGCCCAGTGAATATGCTCCATTGGCTGGATCAATTGGTCGTTTACATTGGCCTGCAGTGGGTGACAGGAACACAGGTCAAAGACAGACACGTCATCATTGTGGATACATTCCAGCCTTTCAGATGCTCAGGTGCTGCATCAATCATACACGTGGGGAGGGCAAAAAAGGCACTACCCAGCATCCCCTCAACTACGAGCCAACGCCCCAAGAGGACATGCAGAAGTGAGTAGCTCCACGTACAGGTTCACAGCAGCATAAGTTATCGTTTGCATCGTTCTGATGCCAAGATACGGCAACAAACCTACAGGTTACAGGTTGCACTAATGCTGAGCGAGACTGAAGTTACAGATCTCAGCTTCCATATCTAATCGAAAATCACGCAAACGAGGAAAACGTAGATTTTTCAAACTCGCCCGAAGCTGCACCTTCTGGTGCATTTACCCTTGCAAATAGTCATGGATAAGTGAAATAACAGCACAAGACAACAAGACTTTTAATGTGGGTCCAGTTGACATTGGTCGACCGGAATGCTGTCTACCCTATCCACTTGTGCGGCAAGATCATCATCAAGCAAAAGCACAAGTCAATCCGGTTGCCGGTGCCCATGGTGACTAGGCAAAGAGAGCATTATCATGCTGCCGCTGCCAGTGTCATCACGAGTACATGAAATCCAGACTAGTGTGCAGCTTGGGACTCTTTCTGCATGAGCGTCCGCCACGGCGAAATTTCTGGATTACATCATAGTTGGTAAGACATCAAGAAGCCTGGTGTATCCGTATATATCCCTTGCCTTATATGTATGCTGCGTTCTCTTGCACTCTTCCCTTTCAACCATTTCACCGTACCGTACGCATGCTAGCTACCTTTATAGTATGCGTATCCATTTTCGTTGCCGGAGTCTCCTCCGCCAGGGGAGTCCTCAGTTCGGGTTTTCTCTTGGACATGGCAGTTTATTTTATTTGAGTTGTGGAACAAAACTCAACATGGCGCAGTGAACCTGCTTCGTTCTTGTCGTTCCAATTTGATTCGTAGTAGTGCTTGCAACATCCTGTCATGTCGGACAGTTCATCCGATTGCCCTGCTCCCGCAGCACAACTGGACGCCAACCAGCTGCTGACGATAATCCAGGCACAAATTCAAACATCTGCACAACGTGACGCACAGCTGCAAACATTGTTGCAGACCATGTCGAGGAGTCGAACAGCAGCCCCAGCCACTACAACCAAACCCGTTTCTGTTGACCGCCCGGTGCTGTTGGTGTCTGCCACGCTTGCTGATTACGCCTCGTGGTGTGAAGCTTGGTCGGATTATGTCCAATGTCAACTGCTTGCCTCCCAGCCAAGGGGGACCCGTATGGCAGCTTTTCGTCAGGCGCTGGACGAAGATCTCCGAAGATTCGTCTGGGAAGGCATCATTCCCATTCCTGATTCCCACGATGTTCTGGATGCCATGGACGCACTGAAAAAGTTCATTCGTAGGCAACGTAATCCGCTGCTGGATCAAATTGATTTTTACCGACGCTCCCAGCAGCCAGGCGAATCGTTTGATGCTTGATACGCATCTCTGCGTGAACTGTTCCACGCATGTAACTTCTCTGAGTTGTTGATGTGCTCCACCTGCCCAGCTCCCAGCTCGAGTGTGCGGTACCTGTAATAGTGCCATACAATCTCTGGACGACGACATATTGCGCGACCGCGTTGTCACTGGGATATTGTCTGACGACGTACGTCACAAACTGTTGCCTTGGCGACCAAGGCCCTCACTCTGACCTCCTGTGTCGACCTCTGTCGGTCTGAGGAAGCTGCCAGCCACACCACATCGGGCATCCCTGGACAGGTTCCCGGGGCAGTACCGTGAATGCTATGAAGTTGTCTTGTCAGAAGAAGAAGAAGTCATCCAGCCAGGCTCCCAAGAAGCCCGATGCCACAGCTAAGGCATCATCCAGCAGCAAGCCTCCTGGACCAGTGAACAAGTGCCACAACTGTGGACGCACTGCCCACACCAAGAGTGAATGCCCTGCTGCCGGACGGAAGTGCAACGGTTGCCAACGCATGGGACATTTCTTGGCAATGTGCCCAGCTGCAAAGAAGACTGTCGGCCAACTGAAACTCCAACGGGCCACATCCTCGCGGGATTCCAGCACGATTGTGGTTGACACCCAGCTTGTGTCAGCATCCGAGCCGACAAGTTTGAGGCGGTTACCTGATACTGGAAGTGATGTGGACGCCATCGGCCTGGCACATTTGTCTACGCTTGGCGAATTTCCCGAGAATCTGCCAGCCGACCGGTATGTTGTCCGTACAGCTAATGGCTCAGCACTCACCAGTCTTGGCAAGTTAAGCGCCACCCTCACACTAGGTTCTGCCACTCACTCCACTGTCGTACATGTCTATGATAGCTTGGATGAGGCATTGCTCTCACGAAACAGCCTGTCCGCCCTTAACCTGTTGCCTGCGGCATGGCCCTCGGTTTCGGTGCAGTCCCTCAGCGCAGACACTAGTACTGTTGAACAGCTTCAACAACAACTCCTCGACGAGTTTGCCGACATGTTTGACAGTTCATGTCTCAACCCTATAGATGGTCCCCCGATGGATATTAAGCTGAAGCTTGATGCAGAGCCAAGTTGTGTTTGGAATGCACGATCCATCCCTTTTGCCTATCGGGACCAGATCAAGTCTCAGCTGGATGGCATGGTCGATGACAACATCATTGAGCCGGTTACTGAACCATCTGAGTGGTGTCACCCAATTGTTCTCGTGGAGAAGAAGGGCACTACCAAGATGCGTCTCCCCGTTGACCTCCGCAAACTGAATGACCAAGTTTGCAGACCGACTCATCCTGCCCGCACACCTCATGACGCTGTCGCCGCCATTGGTCCGGCACGGTACTTCACGAAGCTTGATGCTAGACACGGCTACTGGCAGGTGCCACTGTCTGAGGATGCCCAGCCTCTGACCACATTTATTACGCCGTGGGGACGGTACCGGTTCCTCCGAAACCCCCAAGGTCTCGTCTCTGCTGGGGATGTATTTAATTCCCGTACCGACTCCGCTTTTGTCCGGCTCGTCAATTTCTCGAAAGTCGTCGATGATGGCCTGGTGTATGACACAGACCTGACAGCCCATTACACTCATGTCCGGGATGCTCTGCTCCGAGCCCGTCAACATGGCATCACCCTGAGTGTAAAGAAGTTTGTGCACCGGAGGTTGACTACTGCGGCTACCGTATCAATGCTGACGGTTACACAGTTGACGGTGGCAAGACTGATGCCATCACCGACTTTCCCGTGCCAGTGAATCGCACTGATGTCCGCTCGTCCTTTGGTCTCATCAACCAATGCAGTGATTTCTCGCCCGAGATAGCCACGCTCAGTGACCCGTTGCGTCCGCTGTTGAAGTCCAGCACCGAGTTTCTCTGGGAGTCAACACATACTGTTGCATTCAATGCCGTCAAGTCTGCGTTAGCCTCACCACCAGTGTTGTCGTTTTTCAACCTGGTCGACCTCTCCGCCTGGAGACCGATGCATCCATTAAGAATGGCCTTGGCTATGTCCTGTGGCAGCAACAAGCTGATGCAACTTGGCGTATACTGCAGTGTGGCAGCCGCTTCCTGTTCGATGCAGAATCCAGATATGCTGTTGTTGAGTCAGAGTGTTTAGCCGTCACCTGGGCAGTTCGCAAATGCTCACTATATCTCTCTGGCTCAGCGTTTGAAGTCGTAACTGATCACCGTCCGCTCGTTCCAATTCTGAACACATACTACCTTGATCAGATTGAGAACCCTCGTCTCCAGCGGCTTGTGCTGAAACTTCGGCCCTATCAGTTGCATGCAAGTTCGCGCAAAGGCAGCGATCATGCATTCCCGGATGCTCTGTCTCGCCATCCAGTCCGTGATCCCTGTCCTGAAGACGAGCTTGGTGAAGACTCGTCATCTCAAGGCCCCGCCATCCGTGCTTGTCTACAAGAGGATTCTGGCAACTTGCGCTTTCATCAGCTCCGTTCTGCCGCGCATGCTGACCCTGACTATCAGCGCCTAGTCCAGTACATCATGACCGGCTTCCCTGAGAAGAAGTCCCAGATGCCCGAGTCGCTACAGCCCTACTGGAATGGTCATGAACATGTGTCGATCGATAATGTTCTGGTGATGAAAGGCCCTCGTCTTCTGATCCCCATAGCCCTACATCAGCACATACTGTCAGATCTACATGCCTCTCATCAAGGTTTGACCCGCACCAAGTCACGTGCACGGCAGATAGTGTTCTGGCCTAGCATATCCTCTGATATCGAGCGTGTCATCCGTAGTTGTGATCAATGTCGCCTCTATGGAGCTTCGCAGCCCAAGGAACCACTCCGCTGTGAAGACCGTACACCAAGTCTGCCCTTCCAACACACTAGCACTGACCTCTTTGAGTGCGAAGGCTGGCAGTACCTGGTTTATGTTGACCGCCTGACTGGTTGGCCTTGTGTCGCCAAAGTCGGACGCACAGCATCCTCGGCAGACATCATCCGCTTATTACGTCGCTGGTTTCCAGACATCGGTGTACCAGAAGTGCTGACAAGCGACGGCGGCCCACAGTTTCAATCACACAGATTCGTCAAGTTCTGCGAAACATGGGGTATTCGGCATGCAACGTCCTCTCCCCATTATCCGCAGTCCAACGGCCTAGCAGAGAATGCTGTCAAAGCCATGAAACGGTTGATCCAGAAGACTACTAGCAATGGCGACCTCGACGCCGATTCTTTTCAGCGTGCATTATTTGAATGGAGGAATACCCCCAACGCTACCGGCCGTAGTCCAGCACAGGCATTGTATGGTCGTCCGTTACCCTCCTTTGTATTTGCTCATCATGCCAGCTTTGCCCTGAGTGGCAGCGTCAAGCTGAAGTAATTTATGCCCAGTCCAGCAAGCACGCTACATCTACACAGAAGCGCTATGACCAGTCGGCTCGTCCGCTGTCTCGCCTGGCCATGCCAGTTGATATCCAGCACCCGCGGACCAAACTTTGGTCATCGTATGGAACCATTGTCGGTATTGGCCAGCACCGTGACTACCTGGTTAAAGTGCCCAGTGGTCGCGTCTACTGGCGCAATCGTCGTTTCCTCCGTCCCAGAGTGTTGCCTGCCCCGACATCTGCAGCAGCCTCCACTCCCGACCCTGTTGATTCCGCACCTATCAACATATCGCAACCAGATGCTGTTGCTGCCCAACCTGCGACTGCTCCAGCTCAACGCCGCAGCGGTCATCCTCGCCAGCAGAATGTTCCGTACAATATAATCTCAACCAGTGGACAATCTTATGACTAGTTTCTGTATCTGATTCAGATATCTAGCTTGCTCACTTGTGTTGTTCTGCTGTGTTTTCTTTCTGTCTTGCGTACTCTGTCTGTTCCGCAAGCTATGTCCTATTTTGCATTTTGCTTAGATAAAATGTCTTTTATCTCGGAAGGAGCGTGGTGTATCCGTATATATCCCTTGCCTTATATGTATGCTGCGTTCTCTTGCACTCTTCCCTTTCAACCATTTCACCGTACCGTACGCATGCTAGCTACCTTTATAGTATGCGTATCCATTTTCGTTGCCGGAGTCTCCTCCGCCAGGGGAGTCCTCAGTTCGGGTTTTCTCTTGGACATGGCAGTTTATTTTATTTGAGTTGTGGAATAAAACCCAACAAAGCCCAGGGGACGCCCCGTAACCAGATGGATCGACAACATCAAGAATGACTTTTAAAAGACAATAAACGTTTCCATTGCCGAAGTGGAAGCTATATCCCAAGACAGGGAAGCGTGGCTCGGCATTGTGAATCAGTGTACTAACCTATCATGCTAAAAATATCTGCACTTACCCTAATTTCAGAAGTTTTAGGTGGTCAAATTTTGGGTATGACAGCAAAAGGCCAGGTTAGGTGAACAGAAATTTTAGGCACAGAGAAGCAGTTCCCTATTGGATTATGTGTGTTAGTGTTTGTTCAGTTATTGAAATTTTAGGTAAAAAAAATTGCTCCAGAAGTACCGAAAATAGAAATACGCCGTAAAATTGTCAAATTTATACAGTACTCAAATAACCTTCTGACGATGGGTGACTGGCCCGAAACGTCAATAATTTTTTTCCACATCACTAATAAAAGATTTTTCATCCAGCACATGCGCCAAGAGTAAATAGCAACTAAATAGAGCGGTTGTCACTTGACAAACCCCCTTTATTCAAATAACCTTTTGGTAAATAACATTCTGTACTCAATATATATTCCTCATGCCAAGGCTGATGATGGAATCGAGGTAGTTTTCCCTGCAATAACAAAATGGAGAGAATGTGTACATATATTTCTCGTTTTTATTTATTTTTTACCGACGGATCCGTTAACCCCATGGGTGATCTCACTCATGGGCTACATGCGAACTATTATTACTACTACGTGTAACTATTATTATCATTGTTGGTGCTAATATACAGCGGGAAGTGGCGTAGTGCGTACAACTGAGCTGCAGTTGTGCAGAAAGAGATCCGCTTGAATTCTTCTTGTACGCACTACATTACTGACATGATGTAATCCCGGAATTTGGTCGTGACACCAACCCATCCAAGCTGCACACTTGGGGTTTCATGTACTCTTGTACTCTATACCTTTGTCGCTTGGAGGGCTTTGGAGAGGCTCCTAAAAGTCAGAGAGGATACAAGAACAGCTCTCCAACTTTTCGGAGAGTCTCGGACTTTTCCGAGAGGATTTAGAACGCAGCCTTAATCAAGTTAGTTGGGTTACACTTGTCGATAGCACAATCTACACCGCACAGGATTGCCTGCATTGGTCCTTGGCGAGGTGCAGTTGCCAGGCCCATGGGTGACAACGAATCTAAACGGCCTGTGTCCACTGTAGGACTATGCTGCAGAATTGTATCGCAACTCCAATCAAGAAACTCCAAGCATTCTACAAGAATCATACAAGCATGGTGTCGTGCAGTTTCTAAGTGTGGGTTCATGAAGTTCAGCATAATTATTATCTGTCACAGAATGAGAACGCGAAGAAAATGAAAAGAGACAAAGGAAACTTACGAATACAGCTACCACCACTGGTCACTGTGCCATTGGCTTGGCAAGTCCACGTATCAGAACCGAGCAAAGTGTAGCCACTATTACAAGACAATGTCAGGGTATCACCAGTATTGAATGCGCCCTGGGAAAATTGGCCGTTGGTTGGGGAGGTTGGTGGTGTGCATGCCACAGCTGCAGTGTGTAATAGCAACACAGATCAAATTCAGGTGCATCAGCGTGAGATGTTTCAGCCCTCGGGTCTATGGCAAATGCGTAACAGGGAGTCGTAGCCTACAGGAAAACGACACAGGCAGCCATACCGCTGGCTTCACTCCCGGGGCTGCCCGTTACAGTCGCCCTTGGGGCAGGGCCGATTTACACACACCCACGTATGGCATCGTTTGTCTGGGCCGCGCTTGGGGTCAGCAGGCCAAAGCCGCGCAGAAGCATAGACAACAGCTTACAAAGAACTTCCGAACCCGCACAAGTTTCAGGTACCGTGATCTTGTGTCGTCTCCCTAGAAGCCACAACCCAATGGTGTTTAAAGGGACGTCGCAAGGTACTCCACATTGGTGCGGCCATGAAAACGCGGGGTCCCGGGGGACGTCCCTTGGGAAATTTTAGGAAACTTGGCCCCAAATAGCCCATATTTCATTGCTCCAGAAATCACCGGATGAAATTATTGGTGCAATTTGGCCGCACCTGCCGCACCGGTTCAGACACCCCTAGTATAGTAAGTGCATAACAACAACACATGCATAATAATGATAGCACATCACACGATGGAGGACACACTGCAAGGAACAGTGCTGCTGATTACAACAAGAAACTGATGAACAGCATACGTGTACTTTTGAAGTCAAGTAAAAACTAAAAAGCAACCTGCAGTAATAGTAGCAAATGCTTTTCCGAATAAATTGGGGAGATGGCACACGACCGTCTCCGAGCATAAAACCAAGATATTGAAGTGGATATGCATCGTACACTGCAGACCCGGTACATATGGTGCATGCCATGTTCCAAGCCTTGTGCAGTCAGCGAAGTAAGGGTATGCATATTATTTATTATTATTATGTGCTTGTTCGCGTAGACATCAGCATGGCCTGCAGCTGCATTAATGGGCATGCGAATCATGCAAACCAGCCAAAAATGTTCGCATAAGCCACTTCGAATAGATACAAAAGACCATAACAGTTTCAAAAAAAAGAAGAAATATGCGAAAAGAAGACAAAAACTAGGGTGCCGACACCACATATACATAGTACTCTAATTTCAGAAATTTTCGGTGCTCAATATTTTCGGTATGAGGGCAAAAGGCCAGGTTAGGTGAACAGAAATTTCAGGTACTGAGAAGCAGTTCCCTACTGGATTTAATATGTGTGTTAGTGTTTGTTCGGTGTATTGAAATTTTAGGTATGAAGCAGAATGTGATGCACCGAAAGTACTGAAAATAAAAGTACACCGAAAATTTGTAAAATTACAGTACACTGTACACTGTACAGCTGGTACTTTGTGTGGTGCAATGCCACGTTCCAAGCCTTGTGCAGTCAGTGTGGTCTACTGAGACCATCAGCACCATCAAGAGTAAATGAGCTTCCAAGAGTGTGCAACTCTGTATGGGTTTGCCTAGGGGTCTGTTGATGGCGAAACTCACACTATGCCGTGTAGTGTTCACGTTGCATATTCCCAGCCAATTCTCAGCCATCCCGTCCCAAAAATCAGCACTTTGGTTAGGGATATCAGCGCGGACACTGCGCAGGGCTGTACGCAGTCAATGATGTAATCGATTTTTGAACGCGGCGATGGTAGACTGGAAAAAATGGCGATCGCCAAAAACCAGCGATAATGCAGCTCGGAGAGTCGGTATTTGACGACTCCCCGGCGCAGCTCAACCTTGATTTTGAAGTTTGAACATTTTACAGAGAACGAGAGAGACAGAAAGAGAGAAAGAGAGCTAGAGAGAAATGTTACTCAAGCTAATGCTTCAGTAGAGGTTCTGGGCACACTGATAGGCTAATATCATTTGACGATTTCCACAGCTTGTGCCGTTTGTTGCAGCAACTGAAGTGAAAATGCGCTGCCAGAAGATTGGCGCTAATGAAGTCGGCTTTGAGTAGATTTGGCTTTCGCCATCCTCGGGAGCCGCTCCTGTTGCCTGTCACAACCAAACCCATACATGCCAACCGTCCAGGGTTTCCCGGGACAGTCCAGGGAATAGGGTGTTTGTCCCGGGGTCCCGGGATGTCCTGCGAAAGTCCAGGGATTGAGATGGAACTTTTGAAATCGAAGTTCTCCTTTTCATGATGCTTTTTCAGTGTATACTAGAACTTGTAGATCCCATATAAGTGTAGTAGACAAAAACACCCATGTGGAACTGCAATGGATCACCGGTATAACGGCAGTCAACAGAAAGTTTACTAGTGCAGTTACTGCTCAATGCAATGACATCCCTTTTGATTGAGCAGCAGTCATGAAAATACATCTGCTAATGATGGATGCACTAAAAAAATTGGTGTCTAGGGAAAACGAACAAAATCAAGGGAATTTAGCCTCGTTGTCCAGGGAACTCAAGACTCCAGGTTGGCATGTATGCAAACCACGTCTCCACATGACTACTCAAACAAAATCCTGTCCACACCTGACAATCGATGTCGCTGCAACGACGGACATATGCACGGCGATTTGCCAGAAATGCAGAAATGCACAAGAACGAACGTGGTCACCTTTCGCGCCACGTGGAGCATGAACGCTTCAGTGAAATTTCCTGCCAGCTCTCAACATCCAATATCAAGTATTTCTGTCGGGTTTACCATCAAATCCAGAGCCTTTCCCCGGTTAAATCCAGTGATTTTAACCTCAGAGATCGTGGCAACGATCGGCATGGTCACCATTTTCAGCCCTGAAAGAAACCTGTCGTTTGGAACGAAAACGGCTTCGTGCCTTCCAACGAATGTTACAAATCGATTCCAGAACACATGGGCGGTCTACATACCAAACAAGATCCAATTCTGGTAGCATGTAACCACCATTTCCTTGCAATGAAATTTCAGCCATTTCTCCTTCAGGGCCGTAGCCAGGATAGTGATCAAGGGGGGGGGGGGGGTGCCACAACTTCCCCACACAAAAGTACATGCACTTATGTTGGGCCTTTCATGCATATTATTTGATCCGTGATATGGGGAGTGTGTGTGTGGGGGGGGGGGGGGGGCAAAATTAGCCCCACATTTGATGCTGAAGATCAATCAGCGAATGGCAAACCTCCAACCAGGGAGTAGTGATATGGTATTTTACTACTCTCTGCTTGCAACGTCGTGTTTGATGGTGCAGTAAGGCATCCTTGATCATACCTATCCTATTTCCCACGAAAAACACAAGCTGCACTTCAACGCTACTTTCACTCTTCTGCTGCTGTATCCACACTTGCAATACATGAAAGAAACTTCTTTGCCTTTCCACAACCTCAAATGCGACCAATCAACAGCCAGAACTGCATTATACCAAAAATAGCACGACCAAACTGCTATGCCTGACGTGCGTTTTCCATAGACCATATTGCTACTTCTACCCATGGCTTGTTTGTATGATTCTTTGCTTCTAACAAAACATGTGGAGTGCAATACAAATCATGTGCTGAGCCTGCTGAGGCCTGACATGACACTGCACAACGGCAGGTATGAAGCGGAGTTGCCCTTGACTAGAAGTTTCATTGCAAAATGGCCAATCACGACACAAAATACTGTAAAGTCTTGTATAAAAGCCGCACTTGAATAGAAGCCGCACTTGAATAGAAGCCGCAATTTTGGGCCCATCAAATCACACATAAGCCTGGTTTTAGTGTTGACATACAAAAAAATACCTGTCTTGAAGCCTGTCTCATATAGAAGCCTGCAAAATTTCACCAAGAAAGTCATAGAAGCCGCGGCTTTTATACAAGACTTAACTGTATAAGCAGAATATTTCGTCGGTCAATAATTTCGTCCAACTCCAAAGAAAGGGAGTTCGTCTGGTTGTAAATTTCGTCCATGGATCATAAGAGTGTATTGAAAAGCTGGACAAATCAATATTAGTCCGGCATTTAATTTAGTCCAACAGCTCGTTGGACGAAAAAGACGAAATTAAATTCCAGACGAATATTTCTGCTTGTACAGTACAGTAGTTTGAAATTTGGACGTTGAGCCAATAATAAATGTAGAAAGGAAAAGGACATATGGATACGAGTTAAGAGTAACTCTCCATCACTGTAACCAGATTTTATAGTCAGAAAGTGCAACAACTAGGCACAAAACTGACAGAGTACTGAGACATTCGACGTCCTGACACCTAGCTTCAACACGTCTCCGTAGCGCTAACCGACAGCCTTCCAACTTGGAAGGTTCAAGGTTATGGAAAGACCAAAGAGGGGAAGGCAAGCGCAACGAAAACGAGCACAAGCTACAGTCCCAACGGAACAAAGAATGTCGATTGTTACTGTCTCAGTACTCTGTCAGTTTTGTGCCTAGTTGTTGCACTTTCTGACTGTATATAGTGTCTGGTTACAGTGATGGAGAGTTGCTCTTAACTCGTATCATGTGTCCTTTTCCTTTACGGTAGTCAACTGAATTTGGATTGGTTTCAGATACATTGTAGGTCTGAACCAGGGAGTAGTACAATACCTACTACTCCCTGGTCTGAACAGGGATAGCTACAGTGTGCGATGTGCAGAGTTGTACATTTGATCAGCGGTCTGCGTACTATGGTCTTTCTCGAACTAGCTGCGAACCAAGATCGACATTTTGAGGGGGTTGCACCCCCCCCCCCCCCTGCCTACACCCATGTCCTTGGTTGAAGATCTTAATTTTCTGCAAAAAATAGTCAGTGTTTGGTAAAAAAATTCTGCATGCCACATCTGATGCGAGCTTGGCTGCATGCGCAGTGCACGCGCTGAGATCCCTACTTTGGTGTTAGGGTGTACCTATCCAGTAGAACATGTCAAATTGACCACTCAGATAAGATGAGCACCTGTCTCAGAGGACCACTCAGATAAGATGAGCACCTGTCTCAGAGGACCACTCAGATAAGATGAGCACCTGTCTCAGAGGACCACTCAGATAAGATGAGCACCTGTCTCAGAGGACCACTCAGATAAGATGAGCACCTGTCTCAGAGGACCACTCAGATAAGATGAGCACCTGTCTCAGAGGACCACTCAGATAAGATGAGCACCTGTCTCAGAGGACCCTACAACTAGGACCAAGACGTGTTATTTCCAGTCACATGACCCTGGATAAGGAGACAGTGACTGCATTTTGAAGATCCCTCGAGCGGTCGCCTTAGGGCGCATTCAGACTACCGAGAACCCGTCAAACCGTGAATGGCGATAAACCGTGAAGGATATTCGCACTACCAGTAAACTAATGTTACTTGTGCAGCTTTCACCGCAGCATTGAGAAGGGACTTTCCCCTACTCCCTGCCGGAGCATCTTTATTTTGTGCCAGAATGCTGTTTCCTTATACGAATCACCATTCCTCGATACCCATGGAAGAATTTCTTCCCGTTGGTATCCAGTATTTATCAATGAAGGGTGATTCGCAGGAGGATTTCTTCCGAAAAAGTGACCCATTCAAGACTGTTGATCAGTCAACACACAGCGATCCAAAATAACGACTCACCTGGTACGGTTGCAAACGTCGCTGCTGTGGTAGAGGTCGTTGCCGTGCTAGAGGCTGATGTGGTAGGGGTTGGTGTGGTAGGGGCTGGTGTGGTAGAGGCTGGTGTGGTAGAGGTTGGTGTGGTAGAGGTTGGTGTGGTAGGGGCTGGTGTGGTAGGGGCTGGTGTGGTAGAGGTTGGTGTGGTAGGGGCTGGTGTGGTAGAGGTTGGTGTGGTAGAGGTTGGTGTGGTAGAGGTTGGTGTGGTAGGGGCTGGTGTGGTAGTGGCTGGTGTGGTAGAGGTTGGTGTGGTAGGGGCTGGTGTGGTAGAGGCTGGTGTGGTAGAGGTTGGTGTGGTAGAGGTTGGTGTGGTAGAGGTTGGTGTGGTAGAGGCTGGTGTGGTAGGGGTTGATGTGGTAGAGGTTGATGTGGTAGGGGCTGGTGTGGTAGGGGTTGATGTGGTAGAGGCTGCTGTGGTAGGGGTCGTTGCCGTGCTAGAGGTCGTTGCTGCGCTAGGCGTCGCTGTTGGGTTAGGGGTCGTTGCTGTGGTAGGGGCCATTGCTATGGAACCTGTAGGTGAAGGTATGGCTGCAGCACTTGTCATTGCATCACTGCCGCCTGTTGCTGGGGGGTTACTTCCTGTCATATGTTTAGGTAAAGAAGTGGAAACGTGTCACAAACACAGAAAATTACACACTTGCAGTATTAAGTTCAACATTTCACCCCAAGAAGCAACCAGTGACAAGTACTACAGTTTTTACTAGACCAGAGCAAGCCAACAAAATCTGTGCAAACCTAGAAAGATGCATGAAAAGAGACTACAGTACATGGTATTCATAGGTTGATGGAATGGAAAAGGGAAAAGTTTGAAGAAAACAATTGACTGTCACCACCAGGACTCGAACCAGGGGCCTTCACTTGAGGCCAGCGATACTCTAGCCACTGAGATATGGTGTAGCTGTCATCCCAGCAGAGACCGTTCAACCATTTCTTCAGACTTCGAAACACAGTACATGTTACGTATAAATTGAAACATTGTTCAGAAATTTATAGAAAAGAAAAGGACCAAGGAACTTCAAGTTATGCTATAATGTCCACTAACACCACCAGTTACTAAACAATAGATGATATGCCCAATAATGTGCAACTAAACTTGGGAGGGCATTGCAGAGTAGTTGCATACAAAGTTCAAAGTTGTATGGTTATCTGTGACTGTGATCCTGCAGAGCTAGCTCAGGGCCTACAGTGTACACATTGTACAGTACTGTAGTACGATTTGTATACCACTGGTGTGCAATGCCCTCCCAAGTCTAGTTGCACGTTATTCGCCATATCATCTATTAGCTCATGCGATAACATTGCACGACGCTGACCGACGGTACTGACGTTCTACAACTAACTGGCTATCAGCTCTAGCACATCTTGGGTGCGCGCTCCAACAGCCTTCCAACTTCCTATGATATTATTATAACTTAGAGTTGGAGCACGCACCCAAGATGTGCTAGAGCTGATAGCCAGTTAGTTGTAGAACGTCAGTACCATCGGTCAGTGTCGTGCAATGTTATCGCATGAGCTGATTGTTTAGTGACCGGTGGTGTTAGTGGACATTACAGCGTAACTTGTAGTTCCTTGGTCCTTTTCTTTTCTATAAATTTATCCTTGGCTTTCCATCCGAGTCCATTGTTCAGGAATCGACCTTTTTTTTCACGGTACACAATTATACTTGTAAAAAGATGGTGATTGTTCACACATGTTCTCAGCAGCACCAACAGCAATCACAGTTGCGCTCACTAAAATCATGCCTCAGCATGGTCCCCGTAAGTGGTTCTAATGCGTGAATTATTCATGGTACAAGTATATTTCATTTCTTGCGAGGGAAGGGAGATGAGTACCACCTTTCCTATGACAAACTCTTTGAAATAAAGTCTACACTTGACCGGTATGCTCAGATTTGACTATGGGCCACATTCACCAATCCCCACCATCACCACTTCTCTTACCTCTACCTCTGTAGACAGCAAGCACATCCGGACCTAAAGGGAACATGTTGCAACTGCCCCCCCCCCCCCCCCCCCCCCCCGGGAAATCTCTAAGATGGTGACAATGTTACCGGTATAACCTCACCCCGTCAAAACACTCACACATGGTTGTCAAAACTTTACTGTCTCACCCTGAGGGTAGGCCACACCAAAAACTGAATCTAGAATGACGTTTGCAACAGAGAGATCATTAATTTTGTGGGTGCTTGGACTGAGAAGTAGAGTGCAATTACCGTATTTCCCCGAATATAAGTCGCACCGTTCTACACTTAAGTTCAGGGCCAAGAAAGGGGGTGCGACTTATAATCAAGCATGACTTACTACTGAAGTGAATATATCAAAACGATAATGACACGAACCTGCAATCAAGTGGGACCTATAATCGGGGAAATACGGTAAGTTTGCAAATCCTAAAATGAGATTTAGAGCCGGTCAAGACTTGGAGCATCTACCTGGTCAGAGCTCTCCTCAACCAGCAAATTACCACGCGTGACAAGCGATGCCTGCCGCAGGAGGAAAGAATTGACTACATGATATGCCTCCCAGAACCAGTGTGTAATTCACTGCATTTTACACTGTATGTCTACTAGTAACATGATTGTTATGATCACACTCTCAGTCTCTGTGTGGGGCAGAAATCTCTTTCTTTGTCACAATCCGCAATCTACAGGAGCGAAAATCATACACGTACTTTTAAAAAATCGAAGTACAAAGCACAAACAAAGTTCAAACGGTAACAAATTTGCGACAGTACCTTGGCCTTGGGCCAGACATGGCTTCGAATGTAAGCTGACCAAACTCAGCACGGCCAGAAGCACCAAGGTCGTGGGGGAACCCATTGCGACCACGTTCCACAGCCGGTGCAGTACGACAAAACACAATAACTGCCAGTGGTCAGGAGTTTTTGATGAAAAATCCCGGCGCTGTTCCAATGCTAGCTAATGAGAGGCAACGAAAACTAGAGCGCCTGTCCTGCAAGCGGTTTGCGTTCACACGCTGGTGTTCACCAGATGTCAGTGAGCTCGTGATTTTCCTTCCTCTTGTTCTCTCTTACTAGAAAACAGGTGATACCAAACGCGATGTTGAACTAGATTCAACACGCAAAGTCATACAGTCCGTCACTTCCCACAGATGGGCTAAAGGATGCCTCTTGGTAAAGTAAGCTAACTGTGCTAGGAAGATGTAGCCTTGGGCTTGGACAAACTACATGTATGTGATGCGATATGCAACAAAGTCCTGAAAGTTGACTTGTCATACGAATGAAACCCCAAAGCTTACATTCACAAGTCCTGAAATGACGCTATAATAACAAAAGCGGAACCTGCTGTGCGTGTAGTACGTAGTACAGCTCTATTCTTGCACCCCCCCAACAGAAAACGCAGCCAACCGATACACCCGAGTACTCCATATGGCAACGCATATGCATCAAGATGCAAGAAACACGCTTCCTTTTGTGGCGTCCATGCTTAGCTCGCATGGTAAGTCTACATGGTTTGCTGGCATACCGCGGTACGCGGTACTCAGTACAAAAACATGCATGGTTTACGTCGACGTACGCGTCCAAGATCTTCTTTCTTTTTTGTAAAAGCTAATCAACCTCTAGCTCTACGTACATAATCATTACATACATAACAAGACAAGTACTTGAAGCTCTGCAGCATGCTAGCATGCGGTTGTGGCCAGGGAGTACAGAATTTGTACTACAAGTACATGTACTCCCTAGATCCCTGGTTGTGGCTTATGCCGGGAGTACTACATGAAGTAGTACCGGTACAATCCTTACTCGCGGTCCCTGTTGAGGAATTTCGAGGAGACTTTCGTTTTGGCCAATATAATAAGCCACCTCTTCAGGAAAACGAAACTCCTCGAAGCCTGAGGTCAAAGAGTGACGAACGCCCCCTCCCCGAAGAGCTTATGTACTCTTGATACTAGCAAGAGTGACAATCTGTTCAAGGTTTGGTATTGTGTGTTTCCAGAATCGATTTTCAAGCTCCGATCATCAGTGGAAATACGGAACTAAGGTGATCAAGGAAAAAACAAAGGTTAAAAATCCAAAGAAGTGTGACACATGACGCGTAAGTATTACAAAAAGTGAGGGCTAAGGTAAAGAGTAAGTGTGGCAAATGGGCATGAACAGTGAACACGGGATGCAAACTTACGAAAATAGCCTAAGTGCTAACATGTTCTTTTTGCTTACACAAATCGGGCTTATGCGTACGAATACAAACAGCTTCAAGGACCTTCAACTGCTGGACATAACGGGCACGACACAGTACAGAGAAGTGGGAATCATCATACCAAGAGTACATAACCCAAGAGTGTGCAACTCCAGCTATGGGGTCTGCGACGGCAGAACTTCACATCACGTGATGAACCCGTGCACTCTAGTGCATGATAGATATGGTTATGTACTCTTGATCATACACACTCAAACAATCGGGACGAGATAACAAATGCAAGTACACAGCTGACTTCTTACGAATTTCACCCTCATCAGCTCCATCACCTTCCCTGCCACCGGCCTGACTCCTCCTCGTCCATTTTATCACCATCACCACCAGCCGTCTCATCGTCATCCGCCTCGTCGTCATCCGCCGCCTCGTCATCATCCGCCTCGTCGTCATCTGTATCTTCGTCATCCGCCGCATCCTCACCCAACTCACCACCAGTCAGTCGTCTGATACCATCCGTGTTCTCCTTCCTACGTCTGTCCCGTGCCACTGTCCTTAGCTCATCTACGTCTCGAGATTGTGTTCCGTTTAGCTTCTGGCTCCGGTGGCGGCAAGGGCAACGGTGGAGAAGGCACATTCGGTTGGCTTAGTGATCCACCACTCTTCCTCTACACCGTGTGTTCGACTTGCTTTGGCTGTGTCGGTGGTAGAGGGAGCGGGTGTACAAGTATCAATTAAAAATTGTGTTGTCGAAAACACACGATAGGCTCAATACAGTAACGAAGAAAACTGGTACAGTTGCTGTACTGTCCATTGCACCTGCACATCATAAAATATCAAAGCAAGGGTCAGTCTAAGGCATTACAGTCCACGCCAAGGTTGTGGTAACAACAAAATAGCGACAGGACACTGCACTGTGGCTCGCTCTATCTTTATTCCTTCTATCAACTTCCAAACAGTGGGATGGTGGCAAGATATGGTTGATGAAAACTTCCTGTGCCAGCCCTCTTGGCAGTTATTCGTACGATCTTCACGGAGCACTGTCTGAGCATGGACACTCCATGCTGAGATGGCGAACATCGGCTCGCGTCTCTGGCCGTTGTGCCTTCGAGTGCCGAGGTAATATCGTTCGAAGTATTCTATAAGAGGCTCAGCTTCTTCGGACAAACCCTCTTCCAGGACCTCAAAATAGTGCACAATATCTCCAAGTGGCACGAACGGAAGTGCTGCAAGCTGCTTCACCTCTCAGGCAAACTCAGGATGAGCGATGTAGCGCTCTTGAAGATCATTTGTTTGAACATGGCGATAAATATTCTGGGTGAGGTGGAAGAAGCAGCCACTGTCGCAGTGGTTGGAGGACCGCGGACTAATGCTGAACCAAAAGAAAACGCAAGCTCTGTTGATTACCCCAAGAGGCCCTTGCCCCTGACACAGATAACATTCAAATTCGCTGTGGGAATGCAGCCCTTGCAGTTGTGGAACAAGCGCGGTACCTGGGCGTAATGGTAGATGGGCAGCTCTCCTGGGAGCCTCACGTCAATCACACAATCCAGCAGGTGCGGAAGTCAGTAGGTGCGCTGTGGCGGAGCCACCGAAGCCTCACCCTGGCGTCAAAGATCCTGTTTTACAGGTCGATGATCCAGGGTAGGTTGTCGTACGCTTCCAACGCCTTTTATCCGTCACTTCAAATTGGCAACATGGAGCCCATCGCACGTCTAACGAAGTGCGCTATCCGCGGCTTCTTCGGTCTGCCACCGTGGTCGCGCACGAGCCCGATCTTTGAACAGCTCCGCCTCACCACCCTGGAGGACATGTTTAACATTAAGCTCCTCATCTTTGTCCGTCGTTGTCTGTTCTCCCGAGCTAGCTCCCTCTTCACCAGCTTCTTCGTGAGAGTTACTGGTGACCGCACTCGGGGAGCAGCACATCACCTCGTTCGAGTACCATTTTGGCCCGGTCCTGCGGGTCGAGCGACCATGCAGTTCATCGGCGCAGTCCTGTGGAACCAGCTCCCGCCCGATCTCCGTTCCGAGCCCAGCCACCTTCAGTTCTGTGCCCTGCTAAAAGCGCATCATGGCTCCGTTTAAATGCTTTTCGGCTAGTGTGTTTCTGTGGTATAGCGGACTGAAGAATAATAAACGTGTTTTGCAATATATGTATGAAGCTATTTTGTATATAGTATGTTCCCATTCCGTTTTTGCTTTGGTGTAGCCCTGAGGTTGATTGCTTATTTATTTCTACCCTTCCTCTCTCCATACTTCTGTCCCCCCTCTCTCTCTCTCTCATTCCTTCTGTCGTCCACATGTGTCAAAGGAGGCGAAATCGCCTGTTTGTGGTGCGACGTTAAATAAACTTCTACAACAACAACAACTACAGGCACGGATAGAGCATTCCGGGAACTTGGCGTTCACGGCATTCATTGCGGCTTTCTCGAAATCCATCGACACACGCTGCAGGTCCATGTCATCCTTAGCGTGATCCGATTGAAGGTATCCAGCAGTCTCTCGTATGTCACCTGTAATTTGTTCGGCAGCAAACTATACACCAAAGGAACAAAATAACTCCCCTTTTTGATAGAAATGGTCGTCGCGACAGCTGTCACCACGTCCATCTGACCCAGCATGGCGGTCTCCGGAATGTACTGATGCTGTTCGGACCAAGCAACATGCGTGGCTCAAGCAGAGTTGACACTCCCTGGCTACTACCAGCCTCTGAGACGCGACCGAAACCGCCATGGTGGCGGGGTGGCAGTTTGGGTGAAGGCCACGCTAGCCATGAACGAACTGGATACCATTGATGTCTTCGGCCACGAGCTAGTATGGCTAAACGTCAAACTGTCAAATGGCCGGCCTGTGGCTATATGTGCTGCATACCGTCCTGGAACGTGCTCAGACACAGACACCAACATCTTCGACGTGATCTGCAGGGGCCTCACCTCCACAGCCTGCCGCAACTCTGCTGTGATAGTTGCTGGAGACTTCAATGTACATAACCAAGAGTGGCTCCACAGTAGCAGAACAACTAGAGCCGGCGAGCATGCAGAGGACATGTGCTACATGCACGGTCTTGAGCAGCTAGTCGACCAACCAACGCGTGGCCGCAACACACTGGACCTGATTATGTCCGACCTACCCGTAGAATCATTGGCTACTGTCTTGCCACCTCTTGGCAAATCTGACCATGCCTGTATACTTGCTGACTTCCAGATCCGTGCATCACGCGAGCCTCCCATATCAAGAACAGTATGGAGGTATCAGCATGCTGATTGGGCCAGGCTCCGTCACTTCTTCAGAACCACCAATTGGGCAGCTATTGCTCGGACTGATCCAGACCTGTCATGCACTGGCATCTCAGAGAGGATCCTGGAGGGTATGAACTACTATGAAGAGATTCATCCCCTCTAAAATTCTGAAAACCCGAGCATCAGATCCTCCATGGTGGACCACTGAGTGCACTGCTGCCACAGTGAGGAAACGACGTGCATGGAGGTGCCTGAGAGACGACCAGTCTGACCACGATCGGCAGTCAGCCTACCAAGATGTACGGCTCTCAACGATTGCCTGTCTCAAAACTGCCAAGAGTGCTTTCATGGCGAAACTGAGACAGAAAATGACCTCAAAGCAGCTGCCACCCAGTGACTGGTGGCGCACCGTCAAGCGTGCCTCTGGCAATGGGCGTAGTCAATCTGTTCCGACATTACGTGATCCCGATGGAAGAGAGTACACAGCCAGCGCAGACAAAGCAGAATGCATGGCCCGCTATTTTGCAAGCAAATGCAGTCTCGCACAAGATGACCTGTTCGTCCCATTCCCATATGTCAGACCTCGAACTGACCAGGCTCTTTCGGACGTCCGTTTCCGCGTCGCTGCTGTTGAACGCACCCTTCGCCAGCTCAACCCATCAAAGGCAACCGGGCCGGATAGGATACCGGCACGAGTGTTGAAAGCCTGCTCTGCTGAA